CGTACCACCAACAGGCAGAGTTTGCTATGAAAATAATTTTTGAAATTTTCACTTAGGATGAATCTTAATCTTAAGCATAGCACAAAGGGTCGCTGTCGGGTCGAAAAACGGCCTACGGTTGTAGAGGCTATAACGGTTGCACCATTCGCGCCAGGACGTATCCACTGCAGCAGCTTACTGTAGTCAGCTGTACGTAGTGGCACACACTTTTGGACATCTCGTCCGAATACCCCTTCCATGCAATTTTCTCATCACATTTCTCATTTTCTCATCGTCTAACCCTTAATTCCACTGGTTTTTAATGCATTTTGTCTATCTATGTTCACTGATTTTCGCGTTTTCTTCGACCTTCGAGCTTCGGAGCTATAAGATACATAAATTTGGAATTTTGCGTAGCGCCTTGCGTATGACGGCAACGTAAAAATCAACCACGAAGTCATTTAGTTAATTCTAAATGTGATATTGTTGATAAAGGGGTAGGGTAGTCAGGAACCAAAGAAAAGTAGAACCAAATCTGGGCACAGTCGAAAACAGCATTTGTCAAGGTGAAGTACAGCTTACAGAGCCTTAAGGATCGGTTTTCTGGTCACTGGCAATCATTTTTTCTTCATACACCCTGGGTCACTCCATCAAACCCTTCCATCCCGGTAGTTTCAACTTTGTCACGGTTATTAAACATGGAATAGAAATGATGCAGCATTGTCGCCGTTGTGGAAGAAAAGACACGAAGCGTGTTTCCTGTTTATCCAACTAGCAGCCGTCGCTGAACGCTGTGTTTCCGTTCCGTACACCACCTTCAGCTATTTTCGACATTACTTCATGTTTCTGCTTTGCAAATATTGCAATGCAATGGTTTTGGGCATTTGGCATATGGGAACAGCGAAGATATTCCCACATAGAGGCTTACNTACTTTCAAAGGTTCACCTACAGGCTAATTTATTATTACTAAACCAATTTAAACTAGCCAATTTAGACTACAAACTAGCTCCTAGAAATTGTAGGGGCTCCGAAATGTGGGTCCGTGTAGACGTTGAGCACATAAACAAGTGCTTCCCATTTCGGCATTTCGTCCAAGGTGTAACGTTAACAATCACTGACGGTTGCTTAGGCATCCTTATCTCATCTTTATGCCTTCTTTCGTGTCATAGCATCGAGTCCTTTGGTTGATGCCGAATCTGAGTTGACTCCAGGACCCACTGAGGGATCGAACTGTGACTGAAGAGGTCGATCACTGCTATAGGGTGCATATACGAAGTTCAGCTAGTCGAACGAAGTCTTGGGGACAGCTTAAAGCATCCCGATAATCTGAATTCTTTCACGATTTCTGTGCCTCCTACATATCTATTCGTTCTTGTATGGGAGCCACGCAAGGAGTATAGGAGTACCGCTTCAGTCCTCCCAAATTACTGTTTCGAGCCATGTATGCATGCATTCTAATCCCTCAACGGTCTTTGAAATCATGGGAAGCTGGTGGCGATACCTTTTCCCGTCCATCCAATTATTTTCGCATATGGTAAACAAAAATAAGAAATGAGCTGATAATAGCCATTCTTTGTTTATTCTGGTTTCTTCGGCCCTAGAACCCTGTGTCCAACACAAAGCGGCTCATCGTGCTTGCCTTATTGCGAGGTCCGGTACTATGTCCCCTCGGGCTGCCTAAGCGGGCGATGGGTCTGATCCGTTAGGCAAATACAGCAAGCACATCATCAGCTGTCCTCTGTTCGTTGCTGTACATTAACGTCTTGTGGGAGCGATTTTGCTCCATTACGTCTTCCTTCACTTATTAATTCTCCCATACTACTAGAATAGCTACTGAGGTTCTGTGTTCCTTCTACTTCCGTGATTTACTCGTAAGCAACTTGCTCGAGCGATTATCTTGTCAGCCTGCCAGCTCTGGGCTCTGGCCTTATACGAGCCGTCATCAAATGACAGGATTGCCATGAATACTAAAGTTGAAGAAATGAAAAAATGGTGGCAGATTGATCAATAACTACAAAATTAGATTGCTACCCTTCCAAGTGTCTGACGCTGTCAGCTCGTTACCAAATCTGTCACTCACTGCGGCCGGCTAAGCGGACAGAGTTGTGGTGGTGACAACTGTCTCGATTCGAATTTGCAAAATAGGAAATTTAGTACAAGTGCAACTTCTCTCAGAACTGTCAGCCAGCGAAGGTAAGATTGAAGGCAGAATTATTGAATTATGAATTTTTGAGCCGAACTGGAGACATTGATGAGGACTTACTCCAATTTCCATTCATATCACAGCGCTAGATGAATGCCATTGAGAGATTGCCTGTAAATTTATGTATATACCTTTCAAAAAACCCAACATTTTGTGAAGTAGGACCTTGAAGTTTACCTTGAAGTTAGAAGACCTTTTTCTGCCAAAATTTTGTTGAGTGTATTCCAAAGGCTAAATCCAGGACTGCGGCTTTAGACATTCACACTGTATTAGGATGATACTATGGATAGACTCACGAGTACCAAGGACTATTTCTCCGTTAGTAACCATTGAGCCGTTTTCTTTTGCTGCTGCGAGGTCAGTTGATGGACATTATACAAATGCAATCCTCAGGTTGCTTTTTTTCGAAAATCTGCTCTCATTCTACTGCACGAGTATGTTGAACGTTTTTGTTTGTGCTTTTCGTTCACATTGCACGATACTTGGAATTCTCCAGAAATACGAATAAGGCTTCCGAAGGCTCATAGCAATGCGCATTTCTCGGAACTATGCTGGCCCATAATCGCTTATCGGGTAGCTTAATATGTGTTCGGTTGGCTCCATGAAAAAGGTATGTATTATAAGGTGATCATGAACTAAGTGAAATGCCACATGTTAGGCTTCCGTCAATGATTTCTTTGATAACAATCCGATAGTCCGATTCTTTTTGGAATTATTACTTCAATATAAGTAATTAATTCCAGAAATTCAACGTCTGGTGATTTTCAAAGTACTTATTTCCATATGATTTCCACATAGCTGGGAGGACCGACTTTCCCTTGTCATGAGAAATGAGCGACAGATCGTCAGTTGTCATCTTCGGAAGAATATGAATCCACTTTGGAGAATCGTAGTAGCCCTTCAGCTTCACGTCAACTTCTTTTTCGAGCAGTCATATTCAATCACACTGATGTCATCCTTTGTCTTCCGAATAGTTTTTCTTCGTGAGGAATTCTGCCCTTTTTTCCGTAGTGTGAAAGGAACTGAAATTTTTCCATTTCGAATCCAAATTTCTGAAAAATATGTCCTATACAGCAGTTCAAGTTCAGATGATAGAAATAACGAAGTGACTGAAGGCACTGTAATACAACTGGAGCGCTGACAATATCGATTTTGGGATCAGGTTGTAGATATCAAAGTTTCTGAAAAACTTAGGTTCTTCATGATCCGTGATCGATGGTCAGTTCTTCAATCCTTTCAATTCGAAGAGTTAGTCCGTCCAAGCACTTGCTTGAGTTTGCAATTTTTTCACCTCCCTGAGCTTTTGGTCAGATCCCTCTCCAAGATGCCGGGGTAACCGTGCACTCGAAGGACTCGTCTTCAACCTCATTTATGCCATATCTAAGCCTACGAAAAATATTATTTCCTTCAGTTTTTACTTACGATTTTTGAGATCATCACACGGTACTAGCCGGAATGGTCTTAGCAAGTTTCCAAAAGATAGCATCGAGCTGATGCTTACACTAAGGGTTGCTCTGTACATACAAGAATAGCAACTCCAGGTCTGGTGCGCTAATTGGATTTTTTTCAATTTCATAGGATTCCCTGCAATTAGATTAATTAAAGCTGTAGGTGGTCATGGAGGGAACGCCTACAAATCTGTTTTCTATTCTTGTTTCTATTTATATCCCATTTACTGGGTAAGATTCGTTGAGAGATAAGCTTTGACAGGGATCGTTGGGCCGTCGAAAAGGGCAGAACCTACTCAGACATGTGGGTATGGGGCAAATCATTTGTTTACTTATTTATTCATACACTCATTTGGAAACATTTCCATTAGTGTTCTATAGGGCAATCACAATTACGTGGAGTAATTCCCAGGATTTAGGGTACAGGAACCGGGAAGCAGAGGCTATGAACTTTCGTTCTCATACACACATACACACCTTCGGCACATACACTTACAAACGCACACACACGCACACATACACACACGCACACATACACACACGCACACACAGAGAAGTACAAACATAAACAGATACACAGCGACTACATATGATACTGTAGGATGATAAGGTTACTAGCTTTAGGAAAGAACTAATCGTAACGCCTAAGAAGTCACATGGAATGGTCCGTACGTCTCCGTTTTGAGAACGAAGAGGAGGAACGCTTATGATTAAGTGTCATTTATTCCGGAATACAGGTGGTGTAGCACATTTCTATGGAAACTTTCTACGGATAGTGAAGTCGTTTGTGAGAACCCGAGAAGACTTCTCATATGAATTTTAGCAGAGTATTGTATTAATTCAGCTGATTGATGGAGAGCCATTTTCCCGCAGAATCTCATTATCAAATTAACATCACTATTGATTTCTTTGAGAACATTCTCCACCATGGTGTGTAGGACAATTATCTTGCCCAACCATTTATTTGGATAGCAAAGGTCGTAGGTTCATTTCTCTGTGGATTCCGTTTTAATTCTTCATTTTGCCATTGAGGAGGGCTCTGTGACAGACAGGTAACCCTCTTGAATAAGGGATTTGTCAATATATCGGTTCAGTCAAACCAAAACCATCAGGCATCTCTTGGTGCGTTATGAGTATGGACGTTTCATTGTTGTTGTTTATGTATTCATCTCATAAGAGATCGTCAACGTCTCTAAGCGAAAGACCTAGGGAATAGGGTCTTCTTTTGTCAACGAACAAATCCGCTCCGAAAAATTAAGAGGATGAAAATGTTAGGTGGGGCTGGATTTGATCCCTTCGTCGTACTTTTGTTTGATACCTGCACCTCATGCGTCCCTCTCAGTAGCCTAGCAGCTGTTCCGATCCTCAGCTATTCGCGAATCATCGCGATTTTTGGGATTACGTTCAGACCAGGGCAAACGCCCAGGTGTACGGGGAGTTGTGGCAAGCATGGCGTAATCCATTGCCCTTGTACTCCTTGGTACGTTACCAGTTTCGATACCCATGTGATTCTATATGTTTCCAAGCCGAAGGTGTGTCTCCGTTTTCGCGCAGACGTTGTCATTTCTATGAAAGAATCAAAACAAACAGCTTTATCATCGATAAGAGCTGTTGTGCTGTTAACAACAACATCACAAACGCGAGAAACTCGTCCATATCGTTCCAAGTTCTCGTGCATTTCGGTTTTTTCAGCAGCCATTTGCATCTGCTTGCCTAGACGACTTCCCATTTACGAGTAATCTTTTCAAGATCTGGCCACGCCCAGCAATTTTCCAGAATCTCCCACAATGCAGCTCCGTTGAGTCACGAGTTATTTAGGAGCTCTAGTTTACAGACGTATTTTTTGAAGTATTCTGCCAGTACGTCCATCTCATAACTAACTGCTTTTTGCGAATCTCCGTCTAATTCGATCTGCTGCCAAGTTTTTCTCGAAATTGCTGCGATTACTTCCACCTTCTAGTCAGCCAACCAATTATTTCCATTGCTGGTTTTCCAGACGGTTACACTTCATTGTAATAGCGCTAAACTGGTTCCTATTAATATTAATCAGTTCACATTGTAATGAAGTAGTTATTGATATTCATATGTATTCATCTTGGACGACAAGAGGCAGCCCGTTGAGGGATTAGAAGCCTCTAGTTGAAGAAAATACTGTTTTTCTATTTCATCAGAAGCTCTCAGACTGATCGTATCTTTTCAGAATAACCCTCTATTCCTTCTTACTTCGAGTGATCGGTTCAGCTATCCTTTGTAAGAGCGCATGTCATCCTTTGCTTTCTTTTCGTTATACTTCAGGCTCTATTCAAGTCTCCCTTGTACGTCTGCCTTTTTTCATATGAACTTTTGTCAAAGCTTAGCCATAAATCAGAGAAATTCGTATTTATAACGAGACCATTCCCTTCGCAAAAAGTAATGGGGCTCGACTGGCCAACATGAATTTCCAGACCCAAACCCTTCCATGAATTCATTCGCTTTGGCTTTTGCTCAAGACATTTGCTGCACCCTAGATTTGTTTCTTTTGTTTTACACCCTCCAGAGAGTTATATGGAGGTCCTGCCTATCCAGTAATTTGAGATTCACCAATTCTTGACAGCAATTAATCTCCCCTGAGAAGTCAGTCATCAGTAGGGCCACTTGAGAGAAATGAAGGGCTTAATTATCATGATTTGATCATCATTTGTTACACATAAGAAGACCTGTTTGGAAACAACAACCAAAGAAATGGGAATGTCAACAACTCAAGGGTAAACAAGTTCAGTGCAACGTTATAATGTAGACGCTTCGTTCAATACTGCATTGACTCAAACATCCGTTCAAGGTTTTTTTGGGGAATTTATAAAAAATCAGTGTTCTTTAGCTTTTACTCATTTACTTGCCCATGGAAACCATTCGAAAAGTAAAAAGTTACACATACGATTCCCATACACAAAGCGCTGCACCTGTGCCTGTGCATGAATAACGATGTCGCCTGTTCTCAGTGAATAATTTATCGTCAATTTATCTGAGTAATTTCTGTTCTATTCACTAGGTTTTTTGTGATGTTTTTGAAGGATATCATTAAAAGGCTCTAACAAGCCCACTGCTGTAGTGCCAGGTATCCTTGAGAATGTCATGGAACTATGTCGGCATGGGAAGGCACAGCCAGCCGTACCCTTTCAGTCAAAGCCCACAATGGCCCATAAAGGTTATGCAGTACTCTCTCTATTCTTACTCTCACTCTTTGGGTTTAGTCATAGTCTGTCTAACAAGGGTTACCCTTGGGTATGAAGTTTTACCGCCTTCCAAAGTACCGAAAGTGTAGCTGCACGAACAGAGGCTAGATTTCCGCTTTTAGGTCGAATATAGGAAATTGGGCCTCCTTCAAGCCCGACTCCAACCTTT